TATCAAAATCCAAGATGGCTGCCTGTCGGCCATGTTGTTTATCCGATCAGTCTCAAAAGTTGCCCTGCACAGCTAAGGACCAAGGGGAACCTGCATATAAAATTTGAGAAAGATCCCTCTGGTACTTATTGAGAAATACCGATAAAAAATTGTTGACGGACGGACGACGGACCACGGACGCAGGGTGATTTGAATAGCCCACCATCAGATGATGGTGGGCTAATAAGTAAACATACCAGTCATTGTAACAATATATAAGGGGCGAAAAATAACACTGCACAAAAATGGATAATATCAGTGAAGGTAGAAAATTTGACTGGGCGAAAGTGTCCAGGTATACAGTAATATCGTGGTAGACATCTGACCAAATAATTTTGTTCCTTTTCGTGTCAAGTTGCACTGTATATCAAAAACTCCATCTTTAAACTATTGTAAAATATTAATTCTCCGCCTGCATATACCTGAGGTGGCGATCAAATGTTGAGCATGTTTTCGGTTCCATTTTTAATATTTAGTGCATTTTTTTTAACACTGCATTCTGCAAAATGTTGTGAACAATCCATAGCAAAACTCACAAAGAACCATAACTCTGTGTATAGTGGGGCACGACACCCAGTTTTAAGTACAAGAGGCTCTGCCATCCTAAGAGGTTTTCTCATAAAAAAAAATATGGCTACTACAGATGGCAGTATATGCTTCAGGAAGTGATGCTCCAGTAGTTCTGGTGGGGAACTATTTATTCTCACCTTGAACCTGTCATTAATGGTCTTAACCATCTCTGTGGCTGTCACAGGCATAACTTTTTCCTCATCCTGAAAACAAATCCAAGTAAGATTTACAAAAAAACAGTGTTTTTCAAACGAGATGTACTTAAAAAACTTCTACAAATGGATTACAATTCATTTAGAAAGTCATGGTCAACCTGGATTTTTTTTCAATATTCAAACTATTAAATTCCTTTTCCAAAATAACATATCTTTAATATTTTACATTTAAATAGTTCTTGTGATATATTCTAATAAATTAATTTTGTCCTACTAATTTTTAAAAACACTTTTAAAAATAAAATTGTATTCAACAATACCTCCTCAGACGGTTTTTCAAAATATGATTTCTTCTTTCTCTCATCTTTCTCTCCTCTGTGCGCATTGTGGTCACGGTCACGGTGCGACTCCCTTTCACGGTCTCGTCCTCGGTCTCGCTCCCTCTCTCTGTCACCCCTATCCCCTCTGTCTCCTCTGTCACGGCGGTCCCTGTCCCGGTCCCTACCCTGGTCCCTCCCTTGGTCACGGTCACGATTACGCTCCCTGTCCCTGTCTCTATCACGGTATTCACGGTCTCTTCGGGTCTCACGTTCATCCTCCCGGCCTCGATCTCGCCTGTCTTTCCTATCCTTGGACTTGGAAACACTTGGCAAATAGTCGCCAGCATCAGCATATATACTGTTAAACAAACATAATACCAAACGTTCAACATCAGTGAAAACTTATATATAGTAAAAGAATTTCTAACGGAAACATAATTCTAGGTACTTTTAGATGTCTTTGAGGCATTTATATTTATAAACAATAAATACATCTGTTGAACATGCACTGACTTTCAATGGTGAAGATGGCGTAAACTAGAACATTGACTAGACAGCAAGGGCCCGTCATCAGCCTGACTGTACCCCATCTCACATGGTCTATTTTTATTAGCGCTGACCTTGACCTTAGAAACTTTTTCAACATATATAAGGCTATGTCACATCACAGTCTATCATCATGTCAAATTAAAAAAAATGGTCTTTTTGATTTCAAGATAATCGCCAGAGATGAAAGTCAGGTCATAGGTCACAGTGACCTAATTCTTGCACTCTACACTCTGTCATCCCAAGATGTCTTTGTACACCAAATCTGGTTACTCCGAGTGAAATAGTACAGAAGATGTGCCCCGGACACACTTTTTCAAAAGTTATGGTCAAAGGTCTAGTCATAGGTCACAGTGCACTCCGCACTCAACCATCCCAAGATGTCCTTGTACACCAAATCTGGTTACTCCAGGTGAAACAGTATAAAAGATATGTCCCTGACTAACTTCCTGGGGGGACAGATGGAGAACGGAGTGCAAACCTATAGTCCCCCCAGGGGAACCAGTGGGGGACTAATAACTGTGGATGGAAGGGTCACACAAGTCATGTCACTTACTTGTCATCAGCCCCAGGCAGTTTCTCCTTTGGTTTATCTTCCTCTTTCAACTTCCCTGAAACAAGAGTTTTACGTTAATAGATATTATTGAAGACCAGTTGAAACAAACTAAAATTTGAGAAATAGATCATGAATGTTATGCTGTATGAAATAGTCGGTTTAATGGTCGATATTTCCACAAATCTACTTCAAAATGAAGTTAGAAATATTTGAACATATCTTGGCAAAACATTCTTTAAATCTTACACATGTTTTTCAAGCAACATTTCAAGTAATATATCATACTCATGTTTTTGTCTTAATAGTATCGCTATATCCCTTTTGATATGACAATCATGGTAGACAAGTGGTTTATTTTCAGAATGAGATTCAGGATAATCTATGCTTAGTTTGTTTTTAAGCCCCAATGTGACAAGACAGTAAAGTCAGCTGGCAAAATAATGTTGAGATAATACGTCCACATAACACTAGAGTCAAAACACCAGTCATTTGTATTTTTTGCTTAGCAAAGGATACAAGACGTTTTCAAAAGCTTGCAAAATAATTTTTCAATTACTGATTGTGTTCAAAAGAAACTTTGCATAATTATAAAGCGGTTTATTTTTTTTCTAAACAAAAACTGTCCTCCGCACTCTAAAGTCTGATTGTGTATATTGATTTGTCCTTAATTTTCATAGCTCAAATATAGGTAATAGTATTACAAATTGAATTGTAAAAAGACCATTCACACTGTTGTTATAACTGACCTTTTTCCTTTTTCTTGAGTTTCTTGCTCTCCCTGCGGCCCTGTCTAAGGTAGGACAGGATCTGAGTGAGCTTGTTGATGACAATGTCGTTTGTGGTCAGAGTTGTGGTGGCCTGTAAGACACAGAAAACATATATGACATGTATGCTTGTACTGTACCCCAAACGTCCTTCACCAAGTCAAGTATTTGCCCATCTGTGTTCCCCAGTTTTAGTCCTCATCCCCCCCTACAATTTTGAATGGCATTGACATGGAAGTATCTTTTTTTTCCCCATCACAATAAATTTGCCCTCGTTATGGAGGGCAAAAAAAAGGGTAAAAACCTTTATACTGCATACAAAATTATTGGTAAATCTTGTTACTATGACCTAGAGCTAGATACCAAGGGTACCTTAATCATGTGTTTTACTCTTCAGTAGCAGATGATAAAAAATACGACTTTGAAAATAACACAGGACCATTAATTCATGCATTGCCAAATCATTTTTGCGACTTTTTAAAAAAGCAACTCCATCTTCAAACTGTCAGAGTGCTTCTAGAAAATGTTAATACCGGTTAGGCGGTATGTGTTCTTTTAAACAATATGCAGTTCCATCAGGTAAATATTCCAAACATTTACAGCAGGAAATTTCACTTTAATACAAAAAAACAGTTGAAGGAAAAGTTATTATGTAAACATTTGAACCATTTTTAGTTGGCGTTATTTGGAAATATGAATGCCACATAGAGTACAGGAACATTTAATGAACTTAACTTATTGTTATTAAAGAGATGCAACATGCTGGTATGAAACACAGGTTAGATAATCTGTATCTGTCAGAGCTATACCTCTAAACTTGGACAGTCAGCCTTGCTTCTGATGGTTGTTGTGGGGACATCCAAATCTGCATATTCATCCTCAAGATCCACAACATAAGCCATGCGCCGGGGCAAGAACAACTCATTCCTCTCGGGTAGCTTGTTTTTAAACAATATTCTGTAAACGTTTCTTCCTGAAAAATATCAAGTAAATACCATTACTATCGCATTAAATGTGAAGGGAAATAACTGTGATGGAAAGCGCATTAGTTGAAACTGATTTCACATTTTTTTCTTCCATTCAAAATGTCTTCCTGTTTTATTTTTATCAGAGCTCCATAAAACCCTGTAACAATTATTATTATCCGAGTTAACCCTTTCACCACTGTAGACCATAATGGACTCATCCAGATTAAAGCATGGTAGAGTCTACTAAAGTTGCAAAGGGGTGAAAGGGTTGAAGGGACTATGACTCATGTTGTACACTGATGCAATCAACATACAATAATATGTCTGAAATTACATCATGTATAGTGATGGCAATTAATAACAAGAGTTTCACAATTAATAATACAATATTTACAATAAACATTACACACTCATGCTTATTATCTGCTGAATACAAATCTCTAACAAATTCTAGTTACGGCATATTCATTTCTCAGCTGCTTAAAAGTTTGGTCCAGACATCTTTTTCTGTATTCATCTCTTGTTAAACAAATTACAATCCTCAAAAACTTTGTCATTGAAAACACATAAACCATTGTAACAAAGTCAATTTATCTGTGGGCACCTCGGAGATCCCCGTACCACTGCCAAAAACTGTAACTACGCATCGCAAACTGGTTATTTTTCTGGTATGACATTTGCTTTGAGAAATCAATCTGAAAAAAAACCATACTTAGCAGGACCTTTTTGAAAAAATAATGAAGATGAAATATAAAATAATCTAAGCGTAAAAGTTCAGCAGGACTAGACTAAGATTCAAATTCTGACTTCAGATGGTTGAACTATGCTTTAGACAATTGAGCTATCTCAACAATGGAAGTGTCTGGCCAATGCAAACTATGCTGCAGTTATATTTCAAAGGAAATTTATAAAGGAAGATTATTGTATACACAACAAGGCAAAGTATTGCAAGGCAATCCATAGTCCCCCACCAGTAATGATTTCTATATTTAACAAACAGTACACTTATATCAGGATGTAACTACTGTTCAAAGCATAGGCCACAGTGAGGTCATATATAGTGACCTACTTCTTGCACTCCTCATCCAAAGATGTCCTTGTACACCAAATCTGGTTATTCTAGGTGAAATAGTATAGATGATATGCCTCAGACAAACATTTTCAAAAGTAAAGGTCAAAGTCACAGTGACCTTATCCTTGCACTCCGCCATCCCAAGACGTCCTTGTACACCAAATCTGGTACACCAAATCTCGTAACTCCAGGTAAAATAGTATAGAAGATATGCCGGGAAACGGTGGGGGACTAAAAACCAGTGCAGTTGGTCAAGAATCCTTAAACAAAACCATAATCCTTATACTGTACATACCCATCTTTGTCTTGAATTGTATTTGGTTTTCTGGATCCTCTTTATCTTCTCTACAAGAATCAATTTGATTACAATTATTTCGTGATTATTTTTAAATTCAATACATGACATTTTCAAGGAGGATGAATCATTTAGTTTCATACAATGCAACATTTTATCAGGTACCTATGACGAAGATCAGCACTTTGAAGAAATCAAGAATACCAAAATTTAGCAAGCATATCATTAAATGAATTTGAATATGAATTTCTTAAAGCAACGTGTGAGGTCAGACAATTTCTTCCTGATATAATTTTCTGAAATTTGAATATGTTTACAGATTTCAAAGAAACAGAACTACTAATTTAAAACCTAATTTACAAGCATATTTTATTAAAACATTAGCAACAACTTTACTGATTTATAGCAGTCCATTGTTTTCAAACACTTCCACACAATAAGAACGCTTTGCTTTGATCTCATCAAAAAACAATTTAACTATCCATTTATAAGATGACGACCTACTTCTTGGGTACTGGAGGTACGAGGGCAGCTGGTACAGAGGCTGGGGCTTGTGCCTGAGCTGGGGCGTCAGTCTGGGCTGGAGCTGCTGCTTGTGAACTGGGAGGCTGGGACACAATCATTTCCATGACTTCCTCATCCTCACGCTCCTTACTGTGAATCTCAGCCCTCACCTTCAAATAGACATAAAGATTAAGTCATGGGTTACTGTGTAGGTTAATTAATTTTGACAAATTGAAGATTTCATGCATATGGTTTGAAATTAACTGTTTCAAAGTACATATTTTGATTGTGTTCATTTCTTGCCAAAGATACTGACATTGACCTCAAAAATGCAACTATTTTCAGAATTTGTACAATTTCCATTGATATTTTCTTCACACAAACAGATACATGATGTAGATTCAGTCTTAGAATTAAGAATCAAAATACCATAGAAAATGGGTTCATGTGATTGAGATTCATTATAGACTTTCTGAAATTTTGATAGACCAGACATGGAACAAGAACTTCAATAAGATTCATCAGTTTGGAAATATGTGATATCAAAGTTTTACTTTCTACATAAACAATGTACGTATTAAACGTGTCGCAACGTTTCAAGATCAACTGGTCCCTTTGTCAAGCTATGACTGAGTGAGAGATTTGTATTTTTTACCTGTACAAAAATGTGACGAATTTGTATATTTTTCATGTCACTCGACCCGAGATGTTTCGCCTAACGATAGGGAGAGTATACACACTGCATTAGAGAAACATCGACTCACTCAGTCATAGCTTGACAAAGGGCCCAGTCGGTCTTGAAACATTGCGACACGTTTAATGTGTACAATGTTTGTGTAGAAAGTAAAACTTTGATATCATGGAACAAGAAAATGTTCCTTTAATGTTTAATGATTGATAACATTAAAATAAGGAAATTAGTGCAATGTTAAAGAAAGATAATTGATTTTACTGGACACATTTCCCCTCAGTACTCTATACATCTTTGAATCATTAAGGCAAAGGAAATATCTCCACAGGGAAGATGATAAGTGAAGTAAATCATTCCAATAGACCTACAGAGATTATCATGGTGATGGTCTATTGGCTTACCGTTAAGTTTGAACACTATGGTTCACATTATGTTTTATTAGTTGAACAAACATTTTTTTAACATCTGAGGTAATGAGAGGAATGACAAAAGAACTGTGTTAATGACACGTGAACTCTCCAGTTTAACATACAACATTAACAAAGAAAGACAATTACCTTTTCCAACAAGGCAAAATCCAAGCCTTTCACCAAATGGGTGTGTTCCATGTCACCTCCCAGATATTTGGACTCTTGGATCAGCTGTTTTCTTCTCTCTGCATAGTTCTCACCACTGAAGAAGTAAAAAATATGTTCATCAAACATTATACCTGTACTATTAAACGTCCATACATCAAGCTGAACCAAGCTTAAACAGACTATCAAAGTCAGGAGTGCCTGGTATGTATCAGACAGCAGTGGATATTGCTGGTATGTTATTCATTCTCTGATGAGGTCTGTTCCAGAAGTAAGCACTGGAGAGTGGTGGGAATCAATTTTTCAGAGACCCCACCACCTATAAAAACTTAACAGTTGTTATAAAGAATGGTAAGAAGATCTGGTTTTAACCCCACCATCCACAATATATTAATACAGGTGCCTCCCACCTTCCCCATATGATAAATTATGGAATAACCCTAATTAATTGTATCTCTTATTTCTAAACTGACAGGTTAATATGAAAGTTTTTTTCATGAGAGTTTACAAGATAACAAAAGGAATGTAGAATGAAAACTTGACAAAGTTTATTAAAGATAATGGTTTCCAACTGAATATCTATTTTAATCACCAAAACCCTCATTCACAGAAGGTATGGAAGCAGGTGAATTATAGTTTACTCATGAATGTTGGAAGTATACTGAACATTGGAAAATGTTTAATACAGTGTAACTTTCATCCTCCCTTATGAGGAAAAAATCAACATGACAGTCAATAATAGCAATAGCAATAAAGGGCAAGTGGTTTTTACTGGGGAAGAGTGAATGTTTCACTAGACGAAGATCTCATAGTACACAGTACATGATGTCATTTAATGTGTACATTTGATGATCAACCTTGAAATCATCAGACACCCATCACTTTAGATAACTGGACCCAGTTTATTCAAAGAGTGATATTAAGCTGAACAAATTTTTCGGAGCAATTTTTTAAACTAAATATTTGAGAAGCATCAGAAAATTTACAAATATTTTAGAGTTTCTTATCTTAAGTGGTCATCTAGATCTGGAATAATTGTTTACGGATTTGAGAGTTGAATATAAGGCCCAAAAAGTATTTTGTTTCTGGTTACCCAGTCTACCCTTATTTTATGTGTCTGCCCTAAACTGTTTTTTGGCAATTTTCAAGAAAGTACTATTAAAGTAAAGATTACTCTTCTATATAAACCTTACAAAAACAAAAAAATCTACTGGGTACTCACTACACACCTTCCTGAGTAAAACCCTATTTTTTCAGACATGTAACAGGAAACAAACATATTTTCTGTCTGGCCAAAATATCTCTAATGATATACTAGCTAAAAGTTTTTTTGTGAAGGTGTCATTACGCTAATAAGGCCTTGAGCAATTTGGTTTTTATATTCATTTAGTCTGAAACAGACACAAATACACTCAAAGCTATAATAATGTTATTCCTTACGCCTTTGCATCTGGTGCCACGGCCCGATAATCTGCAGTGGTACTGATGATCTCTGTCTCGGCATAATCACGGTTAAAGCCATCTCGCCTCTCTCTTGCCTATAAAACAAATAAATATATACTAGATTAAGTATCTCTGGTTTAGTTTTGATAGTGACATCCAGTCTTTCTTTTGTTTATGAAACGCTAAAACATTAAATAGATTTGGACCCTCAGTATAATCTTAACCGAGTCTATTCTGTGTTTCTCTAGCTAACATGTACAAAATCAACAAATTTAATAAAGAGTGTTTGCATAGTCTTCAATCTGAGGTAAGGAGTGGGAGAAGAGAAGTCTATCATTATGTAGGTAAGGGGGATATAGAAATTTCACCCTCGGATGTAGAATTTCCATTTCGAACATACCTACATATGAGAAATTCTCTGTTAGTCCTAAACATCACTTGCCATCACGGACTTGCTGCGCAGATGACCAATTATCACCTTTTCATTTTTTTCTCTTTTTTTTTTGCTGTATCATTGGACATTACGATTTTACAATATCAAATACAATTACTATTGTCATATTCACTGTCACAGTCATACCCTGTCTCTGTATTTTTCCTCCAGTTCCTTCTGGCGTTCTTCTTCCAACCGTTTGAGTTTTGCGTAGTAACTAAATGTCAACAAGAATGAAACAATTGTACTGTATCCATTCCAAGTGTTATTCAAAATAAAGTCAATCCTTTACTTATTCACATGTCCAAGAGCCAATTCAAACATGTATGATGAATGAATTAATTCTAGATTTGTCCAGTTGTATCTTTTTCAAAGGACACTGATGACTTTCTTAAAGTATCTCTCGACATTATATTAATTTTATTTTGCATACACGCATATGTAACAATATTTCTGACACAATCAAATGTTTCAATGATTTTCCCAAAACAATAATTATATATACAATAATCATATGATCTTGTTGTCCAGAATCCCATCCCATCCCTTCCCATAGACTACATACATATATATATTCCCTCATTTTGTGGCTCTTCAGCGAATTAATATTATTTGTGACGTCATAAATGGACTACACATACTTAAGACATCATAAACAAAGTGCCCATAATGCGGACGTTTATAACAAAATTATATATACATCTTGTGATGTTACAGACGAGCAAAAAATGTCGTTTGTAAATGACTTTATCTTTACCTTTTCTTTTTCCGTCTTTTTGTAGCTGGATCATCATCATCTTCCTCTGGTCTTGTTGGTAATGGGCTGAAAGACATTCAAAACAATGAATGAATTACACAATTTGATATAGGTATATCATGTATTCTTGAACCAACATGTATTGTTAAAACAAGGCATAAAAAGAAATTTGTTGTTTTAATTTCTATAAATATAAATCAGACTTCAACCTTTTGGTCAGTAGTCAACACACTTCTTCAGATATATTAATGTGATGTAACACAAGTCATTTACCCAGCCCAGTTCTGTGACACCTCTGATGGTGGACCTAAAGAAGTAGACATCACAGGGACTGTAGAACGTATCATGACTGACTTACATTTTAGGTAATCTCGAGCTGCTGGAGCTGCTGCTGCTGCTGTGTGGTATTGACCCCGAAGGAGGAGCCCTCGGGGTCATGAGCATTTTCCTAAAATCATCATTTGTAAGAGCATGGCTGTGGAGATAAAACAGACTTATGTACATCTATGTTGATGGAGTTAATCAATAAATTGTAAAATATTAAAAATGGACAGAGAATTGTTAATAGCAAATCTTTTGATTCTGTCATGCATTAAAGGTAAGCAACATGTACATATACAGTATACACAAAATGTTTCTCACAGTTATTTATCAAAATGAAAATACTGTTTTGTTTTAATCTTTTGTCATTGGGAGATTTAAGTCCAAACAAAAATTATATGATTATCACTAGGTAATGGAAATTACACTGAACATAATTTAGTTCAAAATATGTAGGAATCATAAGGTCCAATTCACCTGATAAGGACATGTACATTTAGAGTACTACGTATACATTACACATAATATGTTGCGAGTGTCTTGTGATTTATCATAACTTTTATCCCTGCAATAAGTTATAGGAACTCTGCAACTGAGGTTGATCTTTTTCTGAGATAGAGCGTTGATTATTTGCAAAACCATACCCTTCGTCATCCTCATCGTCTATTTGGAAGTCTGTTGGTGGAAGGGGGTTGGAAAAGACTTCTGTTTCCCCTGAAATCAAACAAGTGAAAGAAATCATGTTGTTGTTTAACTAACTAATAAGCCCTGTGTACTACATTTTAAACCTGACCTGGAAAGGGAAAAGTCTTTGGTTAAAAAAATGTTCTAACAAAATAATGGATAGTGACCAGAAGTGTAGCAGTATCTATGCTAATGATGGTATTGAATTGAATTTGTACCACTGTATCATTGACTGTCTAACCTTTACATGGATATAGATGGTGTAGTAGTTAGCTATCACAACAAAGAAACCTATCAATGATACAGCTCAAATTTTATTTGATGATGCAGGGTCATAAAGGTCATTATATATATAAAAGTTTCAGAAAAATGATTATCACCTGATCAAAAATATTAAAGGGGAGAGAGTAAAGATATTTCAGACTAAAATGTCATGATTTGATGTTGCCATCAGCATGATCTTTCTGGCATTTTCAATACATTTAAATTAGAACACTTCTCCCAAAGCCATTTTTGGGCATTGTTGAATGAGAACCATACTGCGACATATTTCTCCTGGATGAAAATGTTTAGGATATGAATTTGAATGGGAAATACTGTAGGTGAGCAATATACATTCCAGGCTGATTGATTTGCTGTGGACTTTTGTCAGATTTCTTAATTCCGACTAAAACTAAATGCCAATTTCAAGCCACTAAATATTAAGACTTTCAGTATAAATATAACATTGTTGAAAAAAGTGTGACAAATAACTCTCAGTGCTTTATTAGTAAAACTAGCGCCAAGTCAAACCAATTCAAACATTCATTCTTTCTACGAACTGTTCTCGATTGGAACCAGCTTAATGAAAATGTGATATGCGCAGAGACAGTTGAGGGTTTCAAAGAAGCTCTTACGGGTCCTCCTTAAAAGCGTCTCCAAGTGACAACAAGCATTGCCAGGCAAAATCTTTAAAAATTCCAAATAATGTAAGGGACATCGGAAGATATGTTGTTAATAGGACTATAATACACCTTTATACCATCACTTGGCACTTCGTGCCAGGTGAGCTAAAAATTGACCCGAGTTATGTTGAATTGAATTTTTATGATCTGAAATTAATAAAGTAAAACCGCCTATAAGTTAATATTATTTTAAGTAAAAATTAAAACGTATTTATTTTGGTGCAAATGTTTAAATATAAAGTAACATAGACGTCTAATTGTTAACATAATTGATATACCATCACAGCAAGTCAGTGAAACAATGTTTATACAGCAATATGATCCGGGCTGACCGTGTTCGGCTATACGATATCATATTATGTGCACTCATAAAATTAAATACCTCACGATAACTCAATCATTTGATCAAATATCAATCTGAAACTTTGTATATATAGGTGTGTTATAGTCATCTGAATAACATATCTTCTGATATGTCGCTTACTTTATTAGTAAACATTAGAGGTAAAATCTAAAGACGCTTTACGATCTGCTGAATTCAATTCACACACAAGGGTTACGCCGCCGATCATACAAATGAATTCATCATAACTTGGTCATTTTTTCAAACATCTACGTTAATATCTAAGTCATATAAATAATATATCCTCTGATGTCGCTTACTTTAGTTAGTATTTTCAACGATTTTGTCTGGCGATGCTTTCTTAACTGTACAGGTTAATACACACATGTGCCACGCCGACGATCGTAATATTCAATTAATCATAACTCTTGTCAATTTTTCAAATATCATATTGGTATAGTGGTGTATTATAGTCACTTTAACAACAGATCTTCCGATGTCGCGTACTATAATTGGTATTTTTCAAGATTTTGCCTGGCGACGCTTGTTGTCGGTTGAAGACGCTTTTAAGGGTGACCAATATCTTCAATTAAAGCAAAACATACATGCGAGCACCTGTGATACACTGGTAGCATATAAAAATAAGGGTTTTACTATATAAAAAATTGACAGTACTTTTTTTATAATAGTACCCTTATTCTTTATCGATCAATTTACAGTCAGAATTTCAAACACCTTTGCTGGAACATACAGTCTAAATATAACTCTTGACATACTACAAACGAAGTCTTAATCCCCTACATATGTAATACTCCCACACACTTCATTATAGAAAAAATGCTGATTTAATGTCAGTTATCTGTATAGATAAGCGATCCTGAAATCGATGTTGTTATTCAGAATGACGCGTGCAACGAAATGACTACTGAAAGCCTGAAAGACCGTCCTTATTTTGCCAATTTTAACACCCTGATGCACTGTCTGTTTGACGCAATGCAATCTCGTGATCATAACACATAAATGTAAGTATATAGCATGCAGTGTATTACGTTCAGGCATCTTGCAATCTCTGAAGAATTACTGCAGTCGCAACATGAAATACAGCAAAATCTCTTTCCGGAAGTTGGTACCGGAATACATAACGGCGCATGTGCTAACTTTAATAAACAAGAAGTCGAATGGGGATACCGATTTTCCGGAATTAAAGTACTAAGTTTAAAAAGTAAAAAGACTTAACACATAAGATAAATTCCTCTATGAATTAAGTGGACCCGTCATCCGTGACCACTATCTTCATTTAAGTATTGAAATTGCAAACTGCTTTCAGATGCGGTTCATAGTCAATAAGAATGCATTAGTAAAAAGCATTTTACTAATGTGTAACACAGCTTGAGTTCCTGTGGTGCAAATATAGAAAATATAATTCACTTTTTCTTCGAATGTCCTCTTGCATTACAAATGAAATACTTTGAAATGAAATAGCTTGAATGAAGTAATTCCAAATACCGACGACTTTGCCAAAAAATACCCGGGTCCGTACAACATCGTTACTTTTATCAGAGACGTGTAATATACATATCGTCTCTGCTTGTATTCGGTAAATTTAACTTTATATTGGATAGTATTCGGTTAATAGACACTTGTATTGGGTTGTGTTGGGTAAATCGACACTTGTATTGGGTAGTATTGGTCGTATTAGATAGTATTGGGTAAATCGACGCGCCGTGAACCGGTTCACGTTTCATTTTCCTGTAATGAAGCGAGCGTTCAGGCTAGACTTATTAAAAGCCTCTAAGCCTTTATGAAGAATTTCTTACTGCATTTTACTACTAGCTTAGCTTGCTCTTGTATAGAATTCAGAATGATAATAGAGTTATTTTTTTTCCTAAAAAATTAAACATGCTAGAGACGGGCAAGTCTAATGAGCCGCATCTGAAAGCAGCTTAATGTTTATACGTATATATTCACGTCTGTTTGTCTTAAAAAAATAAGAACGACATTAAATTTATCTTTTAAATCCCTGCAAAATTCAATGGAATGTTAATCTGGTGGGACAGCCCAAAGCACGTGCATTTTTCTGTGACGGAAGTGTTCAAATAAAGTCCGCGAACACAACATTTTATTCACAGGTTCGAACTGAATTCATATCGAACTTTGTATTGTAACAATCATAAAAGAATACTTAAAACAAAACAACATTGTTTATTATTATGATTACTGACGTCTTTGTTAATGACGTCACACCACGGAGGCAAATGCGGTCGTCGTTGAATTAAAGCATATGTTGCTGTTCTATTATTTGTTGATATTGAAGTAACATATTGAATGTTGAGGTTACACAGGAACTATGAGTAGACATGCTAGTCGCCTTAATCGTGAAAGCTGGAACGACATTTTAAGATTTCTCTTGTTATCTTACTTGAGGCGGGTGACACTATCATATGTTCTGTACCTTTTGTTTTCCGTTCTTATTCCCCACTCTGTGACCCTCGCCTTTACCTATACTAGTCATCCTGTTTATCTGACAGTCGTACATGTAACAATGATAGAACTATCCGTTAGCAGTCTCCATGTTCCTATTTCCTACGTTTTCTATCCCAATGACAGGGTGCTCATTACCACATGGAGATGCTCTATCGGACCAAATTACTCTAAACAAACTCGTTTAAACATAACTTACAAAATCCACAATAACACTTATTCCTATTACGATACCTTATAGCTACATTTTATATGTTTGCCTATATCAGTTGCTTTTCTTGTTTTCCTAGACGTATAACAACCCAAAATAACATCGCCCTAGTATCAAATTTTGATTTCACTTCTGATAGGGGACATGCATACAATGTCCCTATGGTGTATGCGGGTTTTTACCTTTAATTATATGGTGTATGTTTATATTTTAAGAAAAAAATAAGAAATGTCAATTTATATAAATATTTGAGATTAAAAAAATGTTTTTTAGGAAGAGGGTCTTGAGGGGGGGGGGGGGGG